TCTTATGTCTTCAGAAATGACTTACTCCTTCAGGCACGCGGTGCTGAGCAGGATGAAGATAGAGGGTGTGATGTTGTCCTCTACCTAGCCGCGGCCGCAGCCGCGGCCATAGTAGGGTGAACCACACTGGGTCCGCGTATCTAGAGGAGCCTGGGGGCATCACAGCTGCAAACACTCTGACCTTCACATTTCATAGTGTGACTTTACCAGGATTTACCTGCCTGAAATGAAGATTAAAGAGCTCCTAGTGTATCTATCCATGTACTTGCTGAATAGATCTTGTGACTGCGTCGATCTAAGATGTTTTGCTTTCCTGCAGTCTGGGATTATTGTTTCATTTTGCAGACTATCATGTCATCTACCCATTGAATGGCCTTTTTCTATCTGTCAAGAAAGCGGATTCTTCTGCATTACAATGGTATCCTGGTTGTGAAGACTAAGGTCGCTGAGACTTTTGAGGAGGGAAGGGGGAAACCACCAGCTCCTTCGCCTAGTCGCAATGCAGGCTGATGCAGAGTAGATAGGCGTTCAAGACCCGGAAACACCATGAAGGAGAAAGTCCAGTTCACGAACCTATCCGCGGAAGAAGGCTTCAGCAGGTGACTTGCTACACCTGAATCGGGCTCTTTTGCTTCAAGGATATCGCACCGCCCGGTGAAAGGACTAGGGTTAAACCCTGGCGATGTCTGAAATTAAAAAGGAGGGAGATAGAAAGGATATCCGCCATTCTTCGTCTTGAAGACGTTGAGGAGGAAGCTGTACGTACAGAGCAATACGCCAGCCCAGATTACGACGGCCAGTTGCTGTGCCTTCTTGTCCGCCATGCGAGGGACCTTCATGGAAAGAGCAATCGCTGCAAAGGATAGAACAGCGTCTGCAATCACAGTAAATCATCAGTATGTGTGCGGACAGGGTCGTGCCTCCGAAATGGTGAATGACTTACAAATGGCAGCGACAATCTGGGTTTCCATGCCGTACTGGTTAGAGAAACCACCAGCAAAATAGCTAATGCCTCCCTTGCCATCACCTACAACATAAGGTACTTTGCGGATATGATTGAACATGTGGCCACTGGTGAACAGCAAGATAGCAATCAGGCTAAAGCCGGCCCAGAGATTTCGGTTCCTTATGATCGGCAAGGCGTACGGAGACAAAACCGTGAACAAAGTTATCACGCCCATAAGGATGGTGATTGCAGAGATAATTCGCATGTAATTGATGGGGCGGACGAGAGGTGGTTTTGAGCCTTCCGGGAGATGTCGGCTGATCCATGTGTAGAGTTGGTCGGCAGAAATTGGGCTAGACGTCTTTCATCAACACAGAGAACTCATGTGGCAGACCCGAGAGATTCTTACCCAGTGAAGTCGAATCTTACGGGTGCATTGTCAACCTTGGCAAAGGAGCCGACTGTGGGAGGAAACAAGAGAAGGACAGGCGCAGTTTGAAGCATCAGCTTTTACCTCAATAGATTAGCTGAAAAATATATGAAGAGTGTTCACGAAGAAAGATCATTCTTATACCTTCTGGAAGGTCTCCTTGCCATTACTGAAATCCAGAGTAGCGAGGAGCAGTTTAAGATCGTCTGACTTAGGGCCCTTATTCCAACTTCGTGCAATGAGGTCCCATTCGGATTGGAACTCGCGACATAGGACGCAACCATAGCGAGCGTCAGTAGCTGTCAGAAGAACCGCGACGTGAAAATCGCGAGGCTTCGAGGTCAAATCATCATATGTAACATCTGTCAATTCAATCGGCGCGACACGAGAGACTGATCTGTATTTCTCGTACTTATCAGGGTCTGAGGACGTACAAAGCGCACTCGTCGCAATGCAAAGGAAAGAGATAAGAAAATTGAGGTTCATTTTCTCCAGTGTCTGGAAGAATGGCTCATTTAAGATGCACTGTTGAGCTCGAATGTGAAGAATCACTGAAAAACACAGTGGATGAACGGTCCGTAAGTATCGTTGGTCATTATCCGATGTCTGTGTAGGAGGTATTCCGGACGGAGTAGATGCATGGTGGCACAATAACTACGCAATCTCTTTAGTGCAAGCTAGAGTCCAGGTGTCCACAACTTCGGGAGCTGCCGAGCTAATTTCTCCGTCGCAAGCTGAAAGACGCGTGCCAGCCGCTGCCGCAAACAATAGCGAGGTAAGGTCGGTACCTTACGTTGGCCACTACCGTACCTTGATAATATTGATAACATCTACAGACTGCTTTCTCAGACATGACCACGGATCCCAGGCAAACTAGACTTCATGCCGCAATAATACAGTCTTAACGACTTAATTTCGCTATACATGTTGATCTCCTTGCAAGCCGGCACCGAATTCTCTCGTCCAAATGTCAGCACCAGGGTTTGATGATGTATGTATGCTCTACGACTCCGAGATGCAAGTTGAGACTTACCCAGTTTCTCAGTGCCGAATGGCACTTACCACAGCACACTATGAGCAAGAATATGAACGAGCAGTGGGGCGGACAACGCTTGTTCTAGAGATCGAGCGAGGTCGGGAAATACGTATGGAACAATTATTTCTCCAGTTCGAAAACGATAGCCTACACTTGCAGCTAGAGGAGACCAGCGAAGAATTAGTCAGAGCCAGAGAATCTGAATCGTGCCTACGCGTCCAATTCAATAAAACCCTCATTGAAGAGAATCGCTTAAAGAATATGCTCGCTGCCTCGTCACATGAAATAGAGAGCCTTCGTGTATGTTGCCATTATACCTTGACCTGGTGGAACATCACCTCTGACTTTTAGGATAGGGCGAACTTGCTTCGCTGGGCAAGACTGCCGTCGAATCTAAGAGATTAGTAGACGAGAATATTCGCCTATCGAAAGAACTTTCCAACTTGCAATTAGAAGCGGAGCGGTTTAGGGTACAAAGCATCTCTTCCCAGAATACCGTCGCCGAAAAACAGGCATTGAGGCGCCAACTGATTACGGTCGAAGAGCAATTGGAGAACGAAAAGCGCGCCCACGAACGTGCTCAGTCCCAACAGACTCGTCAGGCAGGGGAAATTGCCAATTTGTCTTCAAGACTTGAGGAAGCACGTAATGAACTTGCAGAGCAAATACAAGCTCGAGAACGACAAGAGCGTAGTGCTTGTCAGCAAAAACATGAAAGCGAAGCTCAGCGCGCAGCTCTTGAAGAAAGGATCGAGGATCTCAATCGGAAATTGCGGCAAGTCAAAGATCAACTCCAAGAAGCTCAGAGTAACGGTCAACAGCGCCATAATAATCTCAAAGCAACTCAAAGTCCTCAGCCCCATGCAAAATCTCGAGCTCCTCCTAATCGAACGATGGGCACCCAATTTGTTCCCGCACTGACCATTGCTACGCCAGGGGCGATCAAGTCTTGGAATAAAGGCATCAAGCAACCAACAGCTTTGCCTGGTGATAAATCGTCTTTCTCGATTACCCCATTTTTGAAACGCGCGAGTGAACCTCAAAATCCTTCGGTTAGTTCTGATGACGATTTAAATGAGCTACACACGGTCCCTGTGTGCGCGGGGACACCTGGGAAAGTTTCCAGTGACAAAATGAGTTTCGCTGAGAATGCAACTATCAGCAGTCCACCGCAAGAAGACGAGCTGTTGTCCAGGGAGGCACTGTCTTCAAAGCGGTCGAAACTATCCCACCAAATTGGTATCAAGTCAAAAATGGCCGGAGCAATAGCGTCCAGGTCACGCTCCCCACAGACTGATGTCGAACCCCTTGCAGAAGGTGACGGTGTTTCAAAGAACAAGGCCCCTGGTCATGGTCAGATGAAGTTGAAGAGGCGTAAATTGGGGTTCCAGCGAGATAGGAACTTGTTTGAGGATGAAGAAGACCGGGACAACCAGGATATCAGAAAGCCAGGGCGTAAACTTGCTCCTGGTCCTGGACGAACTTCCCGAGACGAAATACAGTTAACCGCCCAATCCAGTATAATGCACGGCCGAGGGTTTGGTGCCCCTACGGGTTTCTCCCCGTTAAAGCGAGACAGAAAGAGAATGTAGGCAGTGGGAAACCTTGAATAAATGTAATGTTTGTCCATAGCGGTAGTCCTTGATTCTAGTAGTGCTGTACTCCATCGTTTACCTGCGTTCCTCTTTCATGATTGTGGATTCATGTTTCACCTTGGAAAGGTTTCGATATCCGGTTCAATATTTGCATAATTCGCTGGCCAGCATTGTTTCAAGTGCAGTGACCGGAGGGGGTTGACCAGTGGCTCTGATTTATATATCATGAACTGCTTGATCTACAGAATGTCGTCTCCAGAATGTCATTTATTCATTGAAAGTAAAAAGGCCCGCCACTGTATCAAACCACAACGTAATTCCAGGTTGATAAGAGGAACAATAATTAGACTAGTCGCTGTGTTAATGAGGGTGTATGGGGTTGACTCCATGTATGTTTTAGGGCACAAAAGGCAAAAAACCTAGTTGGGCTATATCTAGGGGAGTGTACCCCTCACATCCCGATCTGTCTATAATGCGTAGCTCCAATGTCGCAGCTGTTGGTGTCAATCAATTAAAACTTGTGTTCGGACAGGGAACAGCATGTGTTTAATGAAAGGAAATAGCGGGTGGGATGATACGTACCTATACTCTAGGTTTAGTTATGTAAAACCCTCTGACATAGACAGACCAATAATCATTATTACTATCATGTCGTTGACAGATTACTCAATAGTTCTCCACCCTTATCTAGGATTTTCACATGACACCTGTTACTACAATATCTTCAAATGTCCTACATTCTTTGAACACAATCTACTAAAGCACTATCTACTAGAAGTATACTATCTACAGAGTTTATCTACTGGTACTTTTTCTTTTCCTTTCCTCGTCACTTCCATCATCGGGACGGGTTAGAGTTGCAGTATCTATATTGTATCACACTGATAATCAAGGACGGCTCAATCCAGTAATACATTGACGAGATCCCACCCTCCAAAATTTCCCGCAGACACAAATCAAATTGGGTACTTCACATTGAAAGATCTCAGCACCATGTTCTTTTCGTCCCGCCCAACCAAGACTATAAGACTCGAGATCAGTGATATAACGTCTCTCCTCATATTCAAGAGACATTCATCCTCGAAGAGATGGCAAGCACGTCAGATCAAAGACCGTTTTACAAGGGCTGCGGCAGTACAAGGCTTGAAGAGCCGTGCAGCTTTCAAATTATTGCAGGTATGGATTACTCGAACTTTACTGTTCGCTGTACGCTAAACACGGGTAATTTTAGATCGATGAGAAATATCACATTTTCAAGAGTGGGCAAACAGTGGTGGATCTGGTATACCGCCCCTCTCACTTCTATATCTGGGCATCCAGGCTGACCTCTGATATTCTCATCAGGGATACGCCCCCGGCTCCTGGTCTCAGGTCTGTTTGATCTCGCACCAATTTTGATATACATCTAACTCTCTCAGGTGGCAGCGACTCGAACTCAACCAAACGGTCGAGTCCTGGGCGTAGACATAATCCCAGCACAGCCCCCCAAAGGGGTCTCTACCATACAGGGCAACTTCCTTGCCCCAGATATTCAGGCTTACGTTCGTGAGTTCCTCCGCGACCCTTGTAGAGGCAGGCCGCGTTCTCCTGGTCCGTGGGACGGAGACGAACACAATACGACCGTGAGTTCGACCGCGAGCCTGGAGCAAAATAGCGAGTGCATCGGAACAGATACGGGCAATCTTCCCCAAAGTGATGCCGTGTCGGAGAGAACAGTAGATGTGGTTTTAAGCGATATGTGTGCTCCCTGGTTCCAAACCACCGGCTTCTGGAAGCGAAGTCTAAGTGACCCTTATGATAGGATGATGAACACAAGCGGCGTGAATTTTCGAGATCACGCCGGCAGCATGGTACTCCAACAAAATATCCTCATACTTATCGTCCATAGTTGACTGACCTGATAGGACCTCTGCCGTGCCGCATTGCAATTCAGCTTCGACACCCTAAGGACGGGAGGTCATCTCATTTGCAAATTTTATCAAGGGGTCGAGGACAAAGAACTAGAGAGACAGTTCAAAGCACTCTTCCATAGAGTGCACAGGATCAAGCCAGAGTCTTCACGCAACGTACGCGCCGGATATATCGAGTATTGCTATCGTCATCACGCACTAACTTGCGCAGGAATCAAAGGAAGCGTACTTTGTTGGCCTCGACAGAAGGAATAACGCGTCGAAGAATGAGGTCCTCATGCAGTCCTAAATCAGAACCCACCAGCCAGATGTAGCTCTAATCTCCTTCTCCTGCCCTACCGTGCGCACTTGGTATCGGATCACCGAATTCCTAGATGATCTCCTCTTCGTTCTCAAGCGACTCGTCCCACTCGATGTCATCTATCGTTTCTTCTGCTCTTGCTTGGACCTTCTGTTGTGTCAGCGATCCATCTCAACAGAAACCGCCTTGTTGATGGCCAGTCCAAGAGATTTATGGGTCGGGGGTGGGTGATTTGCGCGGGCCGGGGAAAAGCAAGACGAGGAATAGAGGGTAGGTTAAAAGAGGCTTCTCGTGACTGACCTCCCTAAGACCACTCAACTCCTCCAGATATCCGGGCTCGTTCAAGGCTTTTACCACAAATTCCCAGCCCTGCTCATTGTATGCCTTGACGATGTTTATGGAACAGGCGCTACAACAGTCATAGCTTCTTCCTATAACCGAAATGTTTTCGAAGGACGAAAGAAATCCCCTGATTTGGTGTGGCACCAGACCAAGAGGGTGAGAACCGCGGTCATTGTTTGGCGAAGCAGCTGGGGCCGCAGCACCTTGAGGGTGCTGTAGAAGTGAAATGAGCAGCTCAACCGCCAAGGCCGACGCTATCGTGGCTACACCTGGTCGAGTAACGGTGCATTGTTGATCAAGTGTCTGGTCTCTTACAGACTTGAAAAAAAAAAGTCAGTCGCATAGAGAGATGAGCCTTGGGAATGGTGGCTTACGTTCATCGGTGCAACTACGTCATTGCAAAAGTAGCAGCCAAGCTCTAATGTTGGGTCTGCATCGTTTCTGACGCCGTGTCGCATGACCACAAAAGAATCGAATCCAAGCGCTGCATTCATCACGATCTTTCCCGCCGCCTTACCAATGACAGTTGGAAGCCAGCGCGATTCTCTCGTGTCCATGAGAAGGAAAATAACGTCGTGGTCATCTACTAGAGCCTTGAGAATGTTGAACTCTTTTCGTGTGTTCTCCGTATCTGTGATGGGATGGCCAGCCATTGGCACCGAAAGAACATGCCCAGTAGCCTCAACACCAGGATAGATTTCCGACAGGGCTTGCGCAGCTCGAATTGCCTTTCTAGCGCCACCTTCTAGGCAGTCTTGAAAGTTGAAAAGTGGCTGCCTCACCGGATTTGAAAAAGATACGGTTCCGTTATCCACGAATGTTATTTTCGTAACCCCCCAAGCCTAGAGGCCAGCAGTTCGGTGAATGTCTGTTCAATAGAAATATGGGAAGACATACCATTAGATTTCGAGCAACATAGCTTCCTAACGTCCCAGCTCCAAGTAAGAGGCATCTGGTGCGTTTGATCTTCTCAAGATCGAGATCCGGGCTGATCCTCCATTTCATGAGTTTCAGATTGAGATCAACGGACTGATCCGCCAGCCTAATCATGCGCCGCGGAGTTAGACGCACATCAATACCTTGAGTGGTACATCCCGTAACCTGCTCACCTCTTAGGATTTAGGTACTCTGTGAGGTCCACTAATCTCCCTGACAGCTTTCCCGCTGAATTCCGTTCCCAGCCAGTCACTTTGGGCGCCCCGTTCGCTGTTTCAGGAGAACTCGCTGGCTGTGACACCGGTTGAGTTTTGCATTCCACTGTGACTACCATGCTGCGACCCATTTCGCGACGTATATCGCGATACCTCAAAATCTGGGCTCTTCGTAGACCCCAACGTCGCTTGATGAGAAATAGTAGATTCCTCAGCATCCAACCCGGCGCATCGTCGTAGTTCGAAGGATCGGCAAAACAAATGAAGCTATCCTCGAATTGCGCCCCATCGAAAAACCCGCTCTCATAACTTGCTAGAGAAGCAATCTTCCAGTTGTTTCCGGCGGTCTGCTGCGAACTCGCCAACAATGTCCCATCTGCTCTTTCGGACGTCCCCCTGGCATCATGCCCAGCTCTGCCATCAAACTCGCAATACTTCCTCGCGAGGAAGAAGCCTCGCTGACAAGCTTCGACGCTGCGGGACCACGTCTGCACTGCTTCCACAAGAGTCGAACTTTCAAAAGTGGGTAAGGCCTTGAATGATGCMCCATTAATCGGTTGAACCGGAGTATGGCCAATGATCTCCCCAGCATTTGTTACAGGAGCCCAGGAAGGGGTTGAATGAAGTGCAGGAAACGCGAACCAGTAGTGGAACTTATACTTCTTGAGATCCGCGAATGACAGTATCATGAAGGAAGATAATTTTGACGGACACATGTAGATGCTGCCGTCCTCTATGGCATCTCGTATCTTTCGGGAATATCATTAGTAAACTTCATTGAACCTTTTGCACCGTGACGCTGACCGTTTGCCCGGCTTGTTGCAGCATCTGAGGCTTATTAATGTCGCGGTATTCTTCAAAAGTATTAAAATTTTTGATCGTCCCTTCAGCTCTGTAATAACCTTCCGGTACCCTGATGTAATCCATGATCAATTAGCAATCATACCCTCTGGACCCTACATATCACCGAGATAATTGTAAAAGGAAGTAGAAGTTGAGCTCTGACTATGGACTCACTCGTCGCTGGTGAGGGCATTTCCATGTATTTGCATCCGACAAGAATTATTCGGTGCGTCTGTAGGGCGCAGTTCGTACAGGCCTAATACTTTGCGAGCAGAGTCATCGAGTTTGTCACGGTCTATCTTCAATGTAGCTAGAGCTGTGTAGAAAGGAAGTTCAATGTCCGAAGCAAATGGAGCGTACTGCATTTTGTACGGTTATAACGCCGGGTGGATGTTTTAGGACCCTGGGTCCTATCTCAGTAATTTAATAAGTGAGCCGCAGGTATATCTGGATCTGTTTCTGCTAATAAAGGCTCTGATTATTATGAGAGCGAAACTGTTCAAGTGGTACCAGACGGTGGAGTAATAATACCTAGGAAGTATATGAGAAGAGTAGTAGTAATAAATGACAGCGGGGCTGATAAGACGGGCAAGGCTAACTTCCCGGATTTATAGCATATTACAAGAGGTACTCACATGCATATAGATCATAAGTGCTCCGTACAGCAACGTGACATTTCCTCTTCCCCGTTATTCATCATTCCTGACCACCTGACTAGGTCAGAAATAATAATGGTCATGGGCCAACCCTATCCACAATCCGTCACTTCGTCCATTACTCCCGGAAGTTCTGACAAAAGGAAAAAGACACTCTCGATAACTTGAGATAGATCACTTGTAAACTATGTATACCTAAGGTACTTTGCGATCATTCTTATTGCTGGTAAATTCTTACTATCCTCCGGAGTTTGCTCTTTTAGGCCCTGTAAGATGTTACTATTCACTCCTAGTTTACGTGCATACTTGGATCATACCCAGTCTGCCATCTCGCGGAGTCGTTAACAGGCAGTATCTAGTATTATCTACTATAATACCAGACTAATGGAGCCAGGAATATCTAGACAGGATGGCGGATGAATGGTGCAGACTAGGGTAGTCTCCCTGCCTTCTTGTTTGGGAATTCGCAAGCTTATTCATAGTTGTTTTGTTGACCCACGCAGCGAAGTAAGTTATCTACTGTCTGTTGCCAGATACTCTGTACTGCCAGGCTCTTCCTTTCTCGGTATATTTCTCATTCATGTATTAATACTATCCTGTGGTCTATGCTTATTTCTGATTTCTGTTACTATTAAACTTACCTTCAGCTGTACTCTTAGATGTTAATATATATAATATTGAGAGGCTACACAATGTGGGTTTTGTTGATAATCATACATTCATGACGCTAGGTTCTCCCTGCCCCACTAAGTACATCCTGCGCGGCTAGGCTGGTGCTTATAATTTGGATCTTAATTATTATTATCTGTACGGAGTAGGTTCTACGTATCTCTGGTTACCTCAGCGCGATTGTGTTTGAAAAATCAACTGCATAGCCCACTGGTATCAACATCAGCTTGTAATGTGTTAATAAGAGGGATTAAAACAAATCATTACGATACTGATTGAAGGATCTGCCACTTCACACAAATCTCACCAGGCATCCTTTGCATCTTCCTGTCAGGTCCAAGAAATGCTGATTGGCTTGTGTGGAGGTTAGTATGAACCCTTCATGACAAAAATATTCCACCGCATGATGGACTAATGACACTGGAGGGGAAAGGAATATGCTCAGGCAAGCACGCCATCGCAGATTACCTCATTGAACATCAAGAGTTCCAACTCCTGGAGTTGAACAACAAAAACTACCCTCGGATAACTGATAACCCAGAAGACGATCTTCGGTTACAAGCTTCGGAACTCAGCAACAAGAGGAATTCGGAATTCTTATTCGACAGCGTCGAATCCCTCCTAGACTTTGCAACGAAAAGATGGAGGGAGCGCTGGGTCACAACGGATATCTGGGATGCTGCGACCATAGAGCGTTTTCTTCAACGACCATTTTTCCTCCTAGTGAGCGTTGATGCGCCAGTTAGTCTTCGGTGGAAGCGCTTCACAGATAGGTAATTCCCCTGCCAAGAGCCTATGCATTCAACAATTTATGCTGTATGGAAACATAATATTTCACTCCATTTTTAGGTGTCGAAGGAGACAGCTTGATCCTCCTCCGCTTGAAAGATTTGTTATATGGAACGATCGGCACCTTTACGATAAAGAAATCGGACGCGCCTATCTGACGGATCGTGCGCAAATGCGACTGTTCAACTCATGCTCTTCTTTGGAGGAACTGCATGCTGCTCTAGAAGCCTTGAATCTCGCTGATGAGCAACGTCTACGTCCAAATTGGGACCAGTATTTCATGCAACTAGCTTCACTCGCCGCGCAGAGAAGCAATTGCATGAAGAGAAGAGTGGGCTGTGTGCTCGTTAGGGAGCGTCGTGTAATCAGCACCGGATACAATGGGACTCCTCGGCATCTTACCAACTGCAACGAAGGTGGATGTATGAAATCTCCCGAAGGCGTTGCAGCTTTCCTTTGATCTTCTCGTGCTTTTTCAAGAGAAACTTACATCGACCAGGTCCACGGTGCAACCGTGGAGAAGGAGGAGGTGTTGGTCTATCAACATGCCTTTGCCTTCATGCCGAAGAGAACGCTTTGTTGGAAGCAGGCCGAGAGCGTATACGTGAAGGCTCAATACTCTATTGCGATACGTCAGATTCCCCAGCCCCTGCTCGTTGCTTTCCAGATGTTGATGATCCGTAGATGCCCTTGCTTGACTTGTACAGTCAAGATCGCTCAAGTCGGTATATCGGAAGTCGTGTATTCCCAAGGATACAATATGGACCAAGAAGTTTGTCTGAATCACCACACTTTAGTAAACGCAGCTAACGGGAGGCAGAGTGCTGCGATCTTGAAAGCTGCTGGAGTATGTCTGAGACAGTTTTCCCCGGTAAGCTACACGGTCCCTTCCGGACTCAACAAAAAGGGCTTACACAAATGTAGCCTCGAAACGGCCTCATCTATCTCCAAAATTCTCAGAACGTTGCTTCGGATTTGCCATTGATCATCAGTCTTTCCGGTGGGAATGATATTTTATAGAGCGCTTGTTCACGATATAGCGTTTCGTTCGGCCAAGCGATATCCACAGACCGCCTGACTTAAAAACTCAAGATTGTTTTGCATCAACCATTGCAATAAAGGGGTATAGCAAAATAACAAATACAGGGGAGCATTTTTCCATTGGTCAGGACAGATTTATTATCTCATTCATACCTTAGTGGGTTCCAATGTCTGCCGGGCCACAGCGGCCGACCATCAGGATAAGATCACTTCTGGATAGAATATACCCTTGTACAATAATCTAAGAGACTGCATTATCAGCTAGCTTCGGACTCTGCGAACCCAAAGTAGTAGTGGATTCTAAGGCGGTCAGCTGTCTAGAATATTGATGTGGGCAGGCGGGAAAAAAAAAAAGTTAACTACCTTAGTTATCATTTTGAATAATGACTCAGCTAAATGCCCCCGCCGTGGTGGGGAGGGATGTTTGACAATAAATGAGGAGGGTGATTATTCTTCTTCTCAAGCCACTTTCATTCATTCATTCTCTCTGTCCCCGAGTGCCTGCGGGCTTACCCAAGCCAGACAGAGCCTGTGATCCCGTCTCTACTCGACTCCAGTATTGAAGTACAGCACCTTATCTTACGGCTTGAGGTACCGGACTGCCGCCATGCCGACTGTTCACCTGCTCGATTATGTCGCGGGAAATGTCCGCTCGTTGGTGAATGCGATCAACAAAGTTGGGTTCGATGTTGAATGGATCAAGTCCCCGGCCGATATTAAAAATGCCGATGTGCGCACTCTTCTCTGCTGATAGTCTTGTTTCTGCTGCTGCACGATCCACAACTGACATATGCCATCGTAGAGACTCATGGTACCCGGAGTTGGCCATTTCGGCCATTGCCTCTCTCAGCTTTCCGAAGGTGGCTTCCTGGAACCGATCAGACAGCACATAGAGCTGGGGAAGCCCTTTATGGGTATATGTGTTGGTCTGCAGGCGCTTTTCGAGGGTTCTGAAGAAGATTCTGACACCCCCGGATTGGGGCTGATCCCACAACGAATGCAGAAATTCAACGCTGACACGAAGAGCGTGCCTCACATAGGCTGGAATTCTGCTATGAATACAACCTCTGAGCGGCAAACTTTCTATGGGTTGAACCCGAACAGCAAATATTACTACGTCCATTCCTTCGCAGCTCTCTACAAGGCCGGCGTATTAGAGAACGAAGGCTGGTCAGTTGCTACGGCCACGTACGGTGATGAAGAATTTATTGGCGCCATTGCTCGGGAAAACGTCTTTGCAACGCAGTTTCATCCAGAGAAAAGCGGACAAGCTGGATTACGGACTCTCCGTGCGTTCTTGAATGGTGACAAATACCAGCCAATCGGAACGGAGGGTCTGGAGGCAGGAAAGAGGGAAGACGGGTTGACCCGCAGGATCATCGCCTGTCTTGATGTCCGTACGAATGATGCTGGTGATCTGGTCGTCACGAAAGGTGATCAATACGATGTGCGAGAGAAGGTCGGCGTGGACGCAGGAGGTCAGGTAAGAAATCTGGGGAAGCCGGTTGACATGGCAAAGAGGTATTACGAGCAAGGGGCGGACGAGGTCACCTTCCTCAATATCACGTCTTTTCGGAATTGCCCGCTCGTAGATACCCCAATGTTGGAAATATTGAGAAGAACGTCGGAGACCGTCTTTGTTCCTCTGACAATTGGAGGCGGTATCAAGGACACTATCGATCCTGACGGGACTCACATTTCTGCTCTGGACGTTGCTACAATGTATTTCAAGTCTGGGGCCGATAAAGTCAGCATTGGATCGGATGCAGTCATTGCAGCTGAGGAGTACTACCATCGCGGCGAAAAGCTTACTGGAAAAACTGCCATCGAGACAATTTCGAAGGCTTATGGAAACCAAGCTGTGGTTGTGAGTGTTGACCCCAAGCGCGTTTATGTCACAAGCCCGGATGACACCGAGCACCACACGATCAAAACGAAGTACCCGAACGCTAGCGGCCAGACTTATTGCTGGTATCAGTGCACAATCAAGGGTGGCAGAGAAAGTCGTGATATTGACGTCCGACAGCTAGTGAAGGCTGTTGAGGCCATGGGTGCTGGCGAAATTCTACTGAATTGTATCGACAAGGACGGAAGTAACAGTGGATTTGACTTGGAGTTGATCAACGATGTCAAGGCTGCTATCAAAATCCCTGTCATTGCTTCAAGTGGCGCTGGCGTGCCAAAGCATTTCGAAGATGTTTTCCGATATACAGCCACCGATGCGGCATTAGGTGCTGGAATGGTATGAGCCGCCTTCACCGTCCCATTGTTTCTCAGCTAACGAGGCCACAGTTCCACCGTGGCGAGTTTACTGTTGGGCAGGTCAAGGAACACCTTCGGAACGAGGGTTTTCTAGTCCGCAACTTCGAAAGCGACGAATGATGGCATACAGTTTGACGGCCGCCCATCTTGCGCCCTTGTTAGCCCATTGCAGTCAGTATTATGAAGTTCTAGCTAATAGAGTTCGCGATCAGAGAAGAGCGGCGTGCTTGAGTCAATGCTTGTATGATTTTAACTGTATATAGAATGACTCACATCAAAATTACACCAAATGGTGCCATTGCGTCGATATTTATTTTCAGATACAGAATTCTTACATGAAAACGGGAAATCTCGATTTAACCAACCCCATATCTACATGGCAGCGACGGCCTAGGGACTGAAAGGACGCGTCACATGATGTAGGGGACGCACGCTTTGACAATAGGGTTGCTTATAAAACAAGGTCACATGACCAAACCGAACGCCTCAACTCATCGCAGCAAATTTCATCCACGCGTGGAGTAGATACTCTAATCATCTCAAGTTCCCCTCCGTCCGTGCTGAAGGACAACACTCTCCTTCTCTTAACATAATTCGGTTGTGCTATAGATTACCCTTCTCCTCCTTTCTGCTTGCTGTTAATGTGACTTGAACCTCGTTCATCTTATTCCGTTACCTCCATTATTTGTACTTTGGCAACTGTCCAGTAGGCCCAAGAACGCCACCCGGATCTACAGCCACTGCTATTCACTTCGTTCAACTCCTGTTCCCTCATTTTGCTGTCATCTCAGGGTTGCATGCCAGTGGTTAATCTCCAGACGCGATCAATTATTCATTCGCTGCGGGACATTTTTCTCAGGGAATAGCTCGGACGTCAGGTTTCGTGGGCAAACAGGACATTTGTGACCTTCCTGTGGTCTTGGGGTTGGCAAGAGCTTTGAATTCTCTGACCCACTGTTCCTCACTGCAGATCAGCTGCTTCTTAACTTTCATCATCAACAGGTCCAAGTTTATTTGTATACAGTAACTCGCAACAGTTACTCTTTGGACCGAAGGGAAGTCTTTCGAAAGTACAGTTATCGAGCATTGCCATTTCACTCCCGTCTTCGTGATCTCTGGACTTACCTGAAGAGAGGAAAATTGAGTCACCGTCTGTTATTGGCGATCTGCCATCCAATTCAGTGTTACTTCCTTTCTCTCCGTGATTTTTCCTGTCACTTGTATGCTTCAATTTGAAGAAAAGTGTCGTCCCTTCTATTTTGATCTAATTACATTCACAAACTCACTTGCTGGACGCGCAATTCAATACAATGTCATCCTCTGTTCACTTCAAGTTCAAGTCTCAAAAAGAGCCTTCAAGGGTAACTTTCGACGGGACCGGTATATCTGTTTTTGAATTGAAACGTGAAATTATCAATCAGAGTAGATTGGGCGATGGGTCGGATTTTGAATTGTCTATTTACAATGAGGATACAGGCGAAGGTAAGCTCTGTGGTTTTGTCCCCATTCCTTCTCTTCGAGCTGGTGTCTGGAAGGAAATCCCAGGAAATTAGGAAAAAGGAAATAAAAAAAGGCATCATCGCTGACTTATGCTTGCAGAGTATGACGATGATACCACAATCATTCCCCGTTCCACTTCTGTTATCGCTCGGAGGTTGCCTGCCTCTCGGCCTGGCAAAGGCGGCGCTGCTCGTTATGTATCTGGGAAAATGCCCGTTAGCGCTCGCAGCGCGCCTCGTAATGATGCTTCAATGTCGACCCGAGCTATATCAAATACTACCAACACAGTGAGCAACAGCGTTTTAGAGCTCAATAACGCGCAGACAGAGGAGGAGAAGATTAATGCTCTTTTCAATCTGCAAGCTAGCCAATGGAAAGAGCAACAACAGGAGATGGCAAAGTATGCATATACCTATTACATGCCGACGTAGTGCTAATGGACGTCAATAGTGCAACGCCTGTACCCTTCGGTCGTGGGAGAGGAAAGGCCGTCAATGTCCCTGATCACCCACCGCCTCCTGGATATCTCTGCTACCGCTGTCGGGAAAAAGGTGAGACAACCAATGTTGAATCTCGGAATCAAGGTTAACCGATATGTTTGTCTAGGCCACTGGATCCAAGCGTGTCCGACTAACAATGATCCAAAATTCGATGGCAAATACCGAGTGAAGAGATCTACTGGTATACCACGCTCACTCCAAACGAAGGTTGAGAAGCCGGAATCATTGGCACTCGATGGGTCGAATGAAGATCTTCGAAATACAGGTGTCATGGTTAATGCTGATGGTGATTTCGTCATTGCGAAGCCAGACAAAGCAGCTTGGGAGTTGTACCAGGAGAAGGCCAAAGCTTCTTCAGCAGCGGCGGCAGAAGCGGCAGCAGCGGAGTACAGCAAAGAATTGCAATCCTGGGGTTTGGAGTGCCCTATTGATAAACGTATGTTCCTAGAGCCCACTAAGACGCCATGCTGCCACCGAACTTACTGCAATGATTGTATTACCAATGCATTGATTGAGAGTGATTTTGTTTGCCCTGGCTGCGCCACAGAAGGTGTTTTGCTTGACAATCTTTCGGTGGATGAGGAGGCTGTTTCGAAAATCAAAGCCTTTGAGAATGAAAAAGCGGACTCGAGAAAAGACACGCAGAAAAATCTCACAGTGCATGATAGCTCATCCAACAGTAAAGGGTCTGATTCAGAGAGAACTGTCGCTGCGGAAAAGGAGCCATCATCATTGCCGTCAGTCAACGGCGCTCTGGACCCGGCTACAAAGAAAAGACCAGCGGACGAAAAGCCCCCGAGCACCGACCATGAAGGATCGAATCTGAGCCCGTCGAACAAGAAGCAAAAAGCTGATCCCATTGCCCAGGCGGCCACCGTGTCGACAAACCCACAAACTCAGGATTCTTCGAATGAGGTCTCATCCATCACCCACGACCAGCCAATGCCTTTTGGTTTTGGCTTTATGAATCCGCAAAGCATGCCTACAATGCCATTCACTGAGGCTGGGTTCATTGGTGGAGGAATGGGGTTTATGAATCCTTTGGGCCTTCCTACAAATGGTTTCCCAAATAATATGAATCAAGCATGGAATCCAATGAATACTCTGGGATTCAATTCACTTCAAGATGGCATTTATGGTAGTCAACAGAGTGGTGCAATGAACGGATACGGTCAAGCAAACATGTACTCCAACATGGGGAATGCCTCGATGCAGATGATGGGCATGAACCAGATGGCGGGGCCGATCCCACCAAATGCGGGTTTTCAGCAGGGCCCAGGCGTTGGCCACTTCTCGAATCAACAACGGACTTCATTTAGCTCACCATTCGCGAGGGAAGAAGACTCCCCGTATTTCAGACAACCCGTGAATCCTCAGCGACACCAAGGAAGACACAGAAGAATAAGACCAAGCGATTATCGTGAGTTATAAGACCGTGTGGTAGGATACATGTACATCGCAGCATGCTGTATCATCACTTCCACATCTCTTATTCCTGTCGGTTCTTTCTCAGAAGACCCTCGGAGTGTAGATATTCTCGAGTCCTCATTTTTTCTACTTCAATTTCAGCGAATGGAAAATTTCCCTTTACAGGCTTTCATATAATGTTCTGAACGGAATCGTTTCGTTTGATCCACAGAAGTTTATTTTATACTCAAACCACCAGCAAAGTCTAAGCAGCCTTGAATTGTTGTGATACGCAAATACGTTATAGTTAGTACTGGGCCAATGTTTTGACAACTGAGCAGGAAACTATCAGGGGAATCTAGCAGGATTGGGCAGGATACGAAGACCAGTTACGTAGATGCCCCACGATGAAGTGTAAAATTACCTTTACATAATCGTTAGCGAAATTTCTGTTCCCTAAGGTAGCAAGCTTTGTTTCTCATAATATGGTCATTTTCATCGCTGTTTTGCTTTAATCAATTCAATCAGTTTGATAGAATATTCCAGGGCCGACAAGTCGATACTCAGGAGTAGTAATGATCTGGCCAGTCTCCACTGATTAGGGATAGGTAGGCTAGATACGAATTACGAAGCACGAAGTAATGAATTAGCGGCCTAGTGACAGCCCAAGATTGGCGGAGTTCCTTTGCCGACGGAGCCTCGTATGGCTAACACTTACGGAATTCATCTCCTCATCAGAACCTCGATCCTACCCCTGTTATCTCGCTGCGCTCAATCAGCAAAGTGACATTATCCGAAACCCCATTTGCCCCAAATCAAGCACCAGTACTTACTATCATATCATTAATTGCTCTTCCAACACTACCTGGATAATATCTACTTACAATAAGCCCTTGTCAAATCTCTGCCACCGTCAAGATTTAGTCCACACAAGAGCTATCGCTATGGCTAGATCCATCAATAATCAAAGTAGTAGCTCCAACCAGCTTCAACGGTCCTTTGGCATTACTTCCCAACCTAGCGTACTCGCAAGCTGCTACAGCGTTGATGCTTTGACTTCCATCGTCAGCGGCTTCCACTACTGCACCACGACGGGGGCCGGTAAGATTTGCCCACTTTTAAAATCCAATATTCTGCATCATGATGTACGCTGACATCTGCCGTTATTGTATAGGAGCACAGTGGTATCCCTGAGGTCCCCTCAGGGTCTAAAACCCCCTCTTCAAGTCCTCCCCGCTCGCTACCCGTTCCTTCGTACGTAGGGAGCAGCTGGCCGGGCAATCAATTGCCTGAATACAAAGGGGAGGCAACGTATACCATTCCGGAAGAGTGTGAGAGGCTCTTCTGCGACAAATTGCGCGCGATTTTCATTGGTGAGATGAAGTTCGCGCAGCAAGAGTCGCCTGGGATGGATGCGTACCAAAGCCGGCCGAACTGGACCGGGCATGAAAAAAGGCCAATTCGAAACTGGGTCGAAGTTTGGGACTACGTTGGCGATGCAATTTATCGAGGTTTTTTGACTGATATGAATGATGAGCGGACATTATTCTTGTTCTTCAAAGACAGTGTGCTTGGCCACAATCTCAAAGCTGGGTAAGTTCTTGTAGTCCAATGAAAGTTTCAGCGGAATCTCTACTACTTCCTTCGGGACTGACGTCTATTCTTTCTCTTTCCAGGTTGATGGCTCTGTTCGAGCTAGCCAGCATGCCTATG